GATTTGAGAATTAGGCAGGTACCTTAAGCATCTAGGATATGAAGTGTCTTATGTTCGAAATTTCACGGATGTTGATGACAAGGTGAGCTAATTCATGTCATGAAACTGGTTCTTGCAATGAAACTGTTCTTGGTTAATTAGTATTATACAACTTAAGCTCTGTTTTACAAGTTTAGAGCAAGTTCTTGAGTTTCAGTGAGAACCTCTTAAGGTTGAATTTTAGTGGTGCCTTAAGATCAATAGGATAAGTAGCCAACGACTGTTAGAGTACCGTGGTTAAGCTATTCCTCTTCTCGGCTTTTTTCTTGATGAAGCTGTGCGTGGCTTGTTTATGTTGCTGCCTATGCAACTTAGTCGTGAAGTTTCAATTTTTTTGTAGATAATTGCCCGAGCGAATGAATTAGGGGAAGATCCAATCAGTTTGAGCAGACAATTCTGTAAGGAATTTAATAGGGATATGGAACAGCTTCAATGTTTAGATCCTTCTGTCCAACCACGAGTCTCGGATCATATACCTCAAATCGTCGACCTGATCAAGCAGGTTTTACCGTATTTACTTCACCTAGTTCCTCATCTTGTTGGACCAGTTCATCATATTCGGTTACACTCATATGCGATGTTCTCCTAATCAGATTCTTGATAATGGCTATGCCTACAAAGTTGATGGAGATGTATACTTCTCAGTCGACAAATTTCCTACGTACGGAAAATTGTCTGGGAGAAAGTTAGAAGATAACCGTGCAGGTGAGAGAGTCGCAGTTGACACAAGGAAGAGACATCCTGCAGATTTTGCTCTGTGGAAAGTACGCATTATAATACCATGTTAGCCTTACATTTAACGCAGAGTTTTCTCATATAGGTCTTAAAAGACTTTTGACTTTTCGGTATAGGCTGCAAAAGAAGGGGAACCCTTTTGGGAGAGCCCGTGGGGAAAAGGACGGCCCGGTTGGCACATTGAATGCAGTGCGATGAGCGCAGCTTATCTCGGTTATAGTTTTGACATACATGGTGGAGGAATGGATCTTGTGTTCCCTCACCATGAAAATGAAATTGCTCAGAGTTGTGCTGCTTGTAGTAGCAGTAACATAAGCTATTGGATCCATAATGGTTTTGTTACGGTTGACTCTGAGAAAATGTCGAAGTCCTTGGGCAATTTCTTCACAATCAGACAGGTAAACATTGTCAGTTTTGTAATTTTCCTCTTATATCAAACATTAATGTCTAAATTTCGTGTTTGCAAACATTGCAGGTTATCGATCTTTATCATCCTCTTGCTCTGAGACTTTTTCTAATGGGAACTCACTATCGATCTCCTATCAATTACTCCGATTTCCTTCTCGAGAGTGCTTCTGAACGCATATTTTATATATATCAGGTAATCCCTCGTTATATATAGCTTTTTGTCGGTAGAAAAATGGTTTAATAGGCTATCGAAAAAGTTTTTGTGGGCACAAAATTATGTTCTTCCTCACTACAATCCTTTAAAGAAATGTACATTTGCTTATTGACAGACGTTACATGATTGTGAAAGCGTTTTAGGCGAGAAAGATTCGACATTTGACAATGGTTCTGTTCCTTCAGACACTTTGACAAGCATAAACACATTCTGTAGTGAATTTATTGCCTCGATGTCCGATGATCTTCTCACACCCGTAACTCTGGCTGCAATGTCAGAACCCTTAAAAACCATCAACGATCTCATTCACACCCGAAAGGTAAACATAACTTACTGCAAGAGTCTGCTTTTATGAATCATAAACCTCTGTAAGTTTCGAAAACCAATTAATGGAATAGTTTCGAAAACCAATTAATGAAAACCAATCATAAATCAACGATGTTGATTTTCAGGGGAAAAAGCAAGCAAGAAGAGAAGAGTCACTTAAGGCTTTAGAGACAACAATCAGAGATGTTCTTACTATCTTAGGGCTTATGCCCACAAGTTACTCAGAGGTACACCTTCTACTACCACAAAACTACTGGCAACACATCAATGGCGGTTCTTCCTCTGCGTTTTGCGTGGTGATCGAGCCCTTTTTGCTCTCTCTTTTTTCATTGCATTTAACGGTGTTGTTTCCTTCTATGCTCAGGTTCTTGAGCAGCTAAAAGAGAAGGCACTAAAGCGCGCTGGACTGAAAGAGGAACATGTGTTACAGAGAATAAAAGAGAGAACAGACGCAAGGAACAATAAAGAATACGAAAGGTCCGATTCGATTAGGAAAGATTTGGCTAAAGTTGGGATTGCTTTGATGGATAGTCCTGAGGGAACAACTTGGAGACCAGCCATTCCTCTTGCCCTTCAAGAACCTGCAACTACAGTTTGAGTTTTTTAAACATTATTATACTACTCTAGTCTCTATTCTTTTGTTTTTAGTGGCTTTCTATGTATTTTTGTATCATTTTGTTGATTTTCACTAAAGTGTAACATTGGATTTTTGTTTAATAATTTTTTGTGTTGGAGTTCAGCGACTAGCTATATCATGTGGCTATGTTAAAATCACAGGAACTTGTTTTTGGTCAACAAGCTCATTTCATTCATCTAAAAGATCAAAGTACAAAGGGAGGGAATTAAGCCTCTTCCAACAATAATACAACATAATTAAAATGCGATAAAATATAGAGCAGATAGATCATCGTAGAAGATGGACAGCGGATCCAAGACATGTCTCGGATGCGTCAAGAGGATCTTCGCGGCAAGGCCGAAGAGTCTCAGAGTAGTCACTTTCCAATGTGATTTTGAAAAAACCGGCATAAAGCTCGGGATCGGGAATTCGACCACTCTCCAAGAGAGGGAAGAAGATACGACCAATCTCACAAAAGAGATGGAAGATGGGAGAATTGAACTCTTCCACCGGGAGTACATTACATGATTTGAGAATCCAGAAAACTTTTGTATTCTCTCAATAAAATAAATAAATTCGATATAAACTATATGATTTGAGAATCCAGAAAACTTTAGTGTTCTCTCATTAGAGTAAATATCCGATTCAACCATACTTGAGGTGAAATCTGGATTTAATTTCAGCCTTTTATAATAAGCAAAAGCAAGGCCCAATACCTGATTAAAACAGCTTGAATCGAGAATTGGCTTGTTGTATTGGCAAATGGGAAAAGATGTTATTGGGCTTAGAGGCCCACTCTTCTGCTTGGCCCAGTCCCATGCTTTGTTGTAGAGAGGAGAATAGGTTATTGGAGTCGACTTCGACTTCAACTTCGATGGGTGTACGGAGCTAGCCACCGCCGGGAGGAGAGATGTTATAAGAAAATAGATGAAGACACGTGGAAGATGGTGTATTTGATCTGACGGCTGAGATGAAGCCAGAAGATGAACGGCTCAGATGAATCATGAGATCAAGTGCTTAAAAGCAACGCAGAAACAGATTTTGAGATCATAATCGAATATCTTGTTGAATTTCTTTTCTTGTTTAGACATTCTTTCTCTTTCTCTGTAATCATCTCTTGTAGCTAGTTCATTGCTAGTGAATTGAGATCTGAATCGGTGTTTCCCTTGAACATTGATTTGGTTGTGAATAATACAAGTACAAGCTTCGTTATCAAA